TAATAAAAAAATATTTTTCATTCATCAAAGTACCAAACTTGACATGACCCGGAAGGGTCTAGGTCCAATGACCTGAACCGAACACATGTTTGGGTCTAGGTAGGACCCCATTTACTCGGGCGTGATGTAAATTACTAAACCGGCACCCAATTACAGTGATTTTTATCATAGAAAAATATATGTTAGGAACTTTTCAAGTCTTGTTGGGAGACTTTTAAAAGCAAAAGTTTATATAGGGAAGCAACCTTATAATGTAGAACTACGGATGCACTTCAAAAATCCATCAGAAAAGGTAGTTTTAATATTGAAAAACACTATGATTGATCATCTCGATATCGAGATGTATAACCATAAAATATAAAAAGATTTTAAATCTAAAAAATAGTGCATTTTACAACATATTATCTACACCGTCCATTTTCATATCTCTATAGATCTACTTGATTTTAACCATTTTTTAAATTTAAATTTTTTTAATTAAATATAAAAATAAATTTTAAAATAATCGTAAAAACATTTGATATATACCATAATAAAATTTGATGGTGCACTATACCTCTCTACACCTACGGATGCATCGGTATGCCAACAGCACCTTTTTTAAAATACATGATCTATGCGTAACAAGCTTTTTTCTTTTTTACGTGTCCTTTATTAGATTGTGCCACGTGGCCAGTACATCAACCCTTGGCCCACTGCCATTACTGAAAACACAAGGGCATGGGAGAATGTCTCCGTATGTTTGGAGATAAGAATGGACTCCTTTTCCTTGGGTATTAAATGAAATTATTTTTATTGAGATCTCAGTGGCCAAATCTAGTGAGGCGTGTGAACCCATACAAAATGGCTTACAATGAAGTACCAAAGCGGACACTAAATGAGAAGTTCATGTGGCAAAGAGGACTCAGCCTCCTCCGACTTAGGGAGCGTTTGAGTCGGGGTCCGCCATTATCCGACCCCGCCATTCACGGCGGTGTCGGATGTCCTTTGCCGAATGCAATTTTTTATTTGCCAATCGGCTGCCGTCGATCTTGGCATGAGTCCTCGGAGGGCAGGACTGGGGTACACCTAGTACCAACCCTACTTTTGCGCTAGATGGCTTTGTCCAATGGGGTTTCAGGCTGGGTTAGTTGATTTTATTTATTTTTATATGAGTTTATAAATACAGAGAAAGTAAAGATGTGTAAGTGTTCGGTACTGATGCAGCATTTCACCAGAAGTTCTTATCGTGTATCGTGTTAATGTACCCTAGTGTAATTCCTTGGGGGTGGGTGCAGAGCATACCATTTCAAGAAAGACTCCATTGGTTAGATAGAGAAGGTTGCCAAGGTTTCATGATATGATATGCTGCCCGACCTATTCCAATTCATATGCTGCCCGACCTATTCCAATTCGAACAGCTCTGACTCGTGAGGATCACTGGAGTACTTCATATGAAACTTGCTATATCAATTAAATCAAAGAACTTTTTTCTATAATCAAATTGCTCATCCAATGAGCTTTTTCAATGCCCTGAAGACGACTCATACCTCCACACTCTTTAGCATGAGATTTTGAGTATGATATATTAACCATTTCACTATCAAGACTTCTTAAAAGTGAATCTGGTTAAGTTGGGACCCATAGCCCAAGCCCTTGGCTCAAACTCAAAGCTTAGATCTATGGCTCAATCCTTGTTTTTGGGCCGAATTTAATTGTTCTAACGTTATCAGGATCGGACTGACAACCGAATCAGCTAGGGGTTTGATCCAATCAAAACGGTTCTAGAAACAAGGACAGAAAAATAGAGAAATAGTTCAAATTATAAAAGAGATTAAATAACTATGTCTAATTTCATTTAGCTGGTTGAACCGGTTAAAACTAGTTGGTCTGACTGGCTAAAACTAATCAAACATCTATTTTTAACAATTTTCAACCATACCTGATTTTTACCTTGAACTAGACCAGTCAAGGCACCGGTCAGCAGTCTAACCTGTCGGACCACCAATTCAGTTCAGTCTTGATAATTATGACCCAAGTTGTTCTGGGCAGGGCCAACTCAGCTAGTTCGGTCACTCAACCCATTGCCACCCTACTTACAACTAGGGGGACCATCGGGTCGGGTCAGGCTGGACCTAGACCAGAACCCGACTACTATTTGGGTACAGGTTTTGGACTCGGGCCCAACCTTTTAGGTCCAAATTTTGGACCCATACCTTGACTCGAGGTCGGGTCTACCTGCCTGGTCCGAGGTCTAGTCGGGTCCGTTGCTACCCACTGAGACACATGGGCTATGACTAAATAACCGATAAAATGGCCGGTTCAACGAGCCTAACCAAACAATTCTTGGCCAGTCTAAAAAAAATGTTAAAAAAGAATAACAAATAAAAAAATCTAAAAAAAATATACGAAATATATTTAAAGCATGATTAAACAATGTATATCCAAATGAAGTTGAAAATTACTGAAATTTTTTTTCAAAAAAGCGATTTATGCCCAAGGGTATTTTTGAATTTTTTTTTTAAACAGATGGGAAAATATAAAAATAAGTATCCATGACCAAAACAATTTCCAATATTTAACAAAATGATAAAAAATATTTTAAAAAAATACATTACAAATAACTCTCTTAATTTTAGGATTATATATATATATACCCGGCCATATCACCTAAACCGGTCAAAACCAGAATCGGCCCATGCCCGGTTCCGATATAAGTGGCTGGTTCCGAGTTGACAGGCCGTGTTTGCAAATACTGTATTAAACGGTATCGAAGTGGAAATATTTTGAAAAAAAATTCTTCCACACAATTTGCTTTCATTTTCCCTTTCTCCCAATGGTGATTAACACACTGCTAATGGTCTCATATCATGTCTAAAAGTTCTTTTCCATTGTGATTAACCATGCTCACTACCAATGATTCAGACCATGCCTAAAAATAATTATCCAACTCCCATTATCTTTCACTGATAGGAATGTTCAACCACTTCGTCATGCTTACAGAAGAATGGGCCCTCAATGCCTGTCATGCTTCCACTTTTAAAGTTTAGAAGCTCCAAAGGCCATGAGGGAGAAACGGATAGCCACCAATAATAACCACTAGAAATAGGAGGGAAATATTTTTCAAGGTTAATAAATCTGCATTCCAAATCTTGTCGCAAAATGTAATTGTAGGCAATAAATAATTTTAACCTCGACAATCATGGATCTGGAAATTACGGATTTCAATACCTGAATACCTAACTATAGTCAATCATGTTACATAGTTTTTGGAAAGTTCATCTCACATGTTCATGGATCTGCCATATTTGGAGTTTTGAATTTCACAATGAGGGGCGAAAATGGATTTGAAATTGTCATAAAGTTTTCCATTTTGGAAATATTGTGAATTTGTAGCCTTTCAAAAACTCTATCTATAACAATATATAACGGACTTGGTTTTGGAGCGAGGCTTGACATACCATCCAATGCAATTAGATAGATCTCATGGTTCACACAGTTAGATAGATCTCATGGTTCACACAGTAACACTTGCCACTCATAAAATTGCCACCAGTTTTATTGGTCGGAAAAAGTCTATAAGGATAAGGCCTTAAACAATCAAATTAAAGTGCACATCAAAAATCCACTCAACAAGTATGGATATATGGAAAAATGGATTTCAAGTCTTAAAAATAATAGATCTTGTACTGTATTTTCTGGACCGTCAATTTTCAATATTTTAAATTGTTTATAAATCAACTTCATCTACACTATTTTTGAAGCTTTAAATCTTATAATTAGAGATGAAAAATTTTCAGGCCATTACAAAAATTTTTATTACTTGAAACAATATCTTTGAACACCATTTGAAAGTGCGCCTTACTTTAATTGTTTAGAGCCTCAGCCTTTTACAAACTATTGTTTAGAGCCTCAGCCTTCCACAAACCATACCCTTAGTTGTTTAATAATTGAAAAAGGCAAGACTCCAAAGATATTTCCACCAAAACAGTTTTTTAATATATTTAAACAACCAAGAGCTTAGCATAGGGCGGCCTTAAACTTGTGGCCCAAATCTCTCCAGAAATCTGGAATTTATTATTTTTACCTTGACAATTATGGATTTGAAAAGTCTTAAAAATATTTTTATCTTGCAAGATATTTACTAGATCCTTCACTTTTATGCTACACTATTTTTGAAATTACAAGTTTCAAAATAAATATAAAAATAAGTTTTCAAAATCAACATAAAAATAAGTTTTCAAGCCATTACATACATTTCTTATACCAAAACTACATTTTCTAATGGGTTTTCAAGGCGAGATTTTACTCCTCATGCTAACCACACCATCAAACAAATATGCCCTTCCCTTTTTATCTGTCTAGCTCAAGAGGTCACACAAGTAAGATAACAACCAACAATAATAATAACATTCAACATATGAAAAGTAAACGACCAACAATAATTATAACATTCAACACATGAGAAGTACACAAAATAAAATGCAATTTTCCACCAAAAACATCTCATTAATCTTGATTATATAAGGTCGACACATTAAAATATAGAATCAAAGTGAATCTTAAAAATTCCTTGAAAAAATTGTTTTGATATTAGAGAAACACCTAATTGATTATCTTGACAACGAGAAGTATAAATGTAGAAAAAATAAATATTTTCAAATTTAAAAAACAATACATCTTACATTATTTGGGCCATCTATTTTCCATATTTTGAGACATTTATAGATGTGCTTGATTTGAACTATTTTTGGAGTTTAAAATGTTATATTTAGATATAAAGTAGATTCTTGCTCAATCCTAAAAATTTCCGACACTAAAATTTCATCTTATTACAAAGTTTGACGATTTACCATTGCAACCTTATACAAACCACACCCTAAACAAATATCTTTCTCGATTTATATATCAAGATTAACAAAGATAGCCAGCAACAATAATAACATTCAATATTATTAAAAGAACAAAATATAAAAGGCATTTTCCACAGCAAAATCTCACTAATCATGCTTAAACAAATCTCTCTCTTTTTTTTCTCTCTCTATTTGTATATCAAGATTGCCCCTCTTTCTTGAGTCATTTTTTTAAGGATAAATTACAAAAAAAGAGAGAAAAAGGCAAGCAGCGTTGGATAAAAAATTGGGTAAAGCCCTACCCCACTCCTGAGGCGGCGCCGACAGAAAACGACAAAAATGGAAAAAAAAACAATAAATCGGAAATAAATCGGAAAAAGTCGGGAAAATATTAAAACGTGACAGAAAAAAAACCCGTAAGGGGGTCAACGTGCTAAAACTCGCCGATATCGACAAAAAAATCATCCCATCCGAGTTCGCCAAAATCATCGGCGAATTCGCTCCCGTTCCCGCCAAAACTGACGGCGTTACTAACGCCGTCCAAGGCCAGGGCCCCTATGCCGAAGGGGTCGATAACGCCGTCACCCAAACCCAGACACTCCATGCCTTCTCCCCCCCACTGCCGGGGCGGCGTGAGGTACTCGCCGTTCAATAGGACGGAAGTGGGCGAGGATACAGACCGAAAACCGCCATTATCCAACGGAAAGCGGTTGGGGCTCCCCTGGAGTTTAACAGAAACTGGCTTGTTCTGGTTTTCCGTCCGCTTGCAGAAGTTTGTGACCGCCTTATGCCCATTAAGTCTAACGGCCGCAGCGTCATAAACGGCGGCCGCTTCCTCCGCCGTGTCGTACGTGCCGAGCCACACGCGTACACGACGGAAGGGATCTCGAATCTCCGCCGCCCATCTTCCCCATTGCCGCCTCCTCACTCCCCTAAAAGCGGTTCTCCGCCCAACTTCGCCGGTTTTCCTCCCATTTTCTCTCCCTAATGCGGTTTTCCGCATGTGTGGCCATCCAGCTTCTCGCCCGGCGGCGGTTTTCCGTCGGTTTTCTCGTCCAGTCCCTCTATTTTGCGGTAGAGTTTCTCCGTCTAAGGCGGTTTTCTGGCTGTCTTCAGGCCGCACTGCGGTTTCGTGGTTGGATTCGTGCCGATTCAAGGCGGTTTCAAGTCGGTCAATCGGGGACCGTTGGATGGTGATCTCGTGGACGTGGCGCTTGACACGTGTCCTCCGAAAAGAGAGCAGGTGGTCTTCGTCCTCGTCACTCGAGGAATCCGTTGCGTCCGTATCGGTGAAGACGACTCTAACGACTTTAAGCTTCTCGGTGGAGAGTCTGCCGGGATCTCTGTTTTTTATTGGGAAACAGTGACCGGAAAATGTTTTTCGGCAAGTGACCTTGTGCTCGGAGTACTTAATGGTCGCCATTGATTTGCTGGTTATAACAAATGGTTGGATTTGCAAAAATTCGATCTTCTTCTCGTTACTGTGACCTCACTTACTGCAGAACATAAGGAAAATAATCAGTTATCAGACTGAGATTTAAGGAGAAAGGAAACCAAGATAGAGTTTATTTCAAGCATTAATAGAGCTTTTCCATTTCAAAGTCATGCCATGCTTGGGTTTGAGAGAAAACGAATTTGCATGAGAGTATTTCAAGCAAAAACTAGTAAGATTGAGCAGTTTTATTCGGCTAGAATCTCTCCAGAAACCACCGGAATTTCTCCAAAAAATGGGCTTTGAAGGGGTAAAATATTAAAAAATCTAAAACATTTCTCACTCTAACAGAACACCGATGAGACGGTAGAAAGAGCCCAGGAAATGACCTAGAAGAGAAAGAGAATAGAAATAGCATGGAGAAAGCACTAGAAGCAGCAAGCTCGTGGCTTGTGATTGAAGCTCAATCTCATGTGCCTACCTGATCAGAGAAAAAAGCTTTTTTTCTCTCTCTCACTCTCTAGACTTTTTTAGCCTTCGCTTTCTCTGGCTCTCGGCTCCTCCTTTTGCAGGCCACAAAGCTTGCTTTTACTGGGACTCAAAGCTTTCTCTTCTTTTGAACCTTAGAAGCTTCTGATATAAGGCGTACACTGCAGGGGATCTCGAGAACGTTTATGGGGGAAATAAAGAAACATTCCTCTCTCTCTCTCTCTCTAAACAACCCTACGACCTTCTCTCTCTAACAAATTGACTTTCTCTCTCCTCACTCGTTTTTCACTCTCTAACAAGTGTATTAAAATTTCACTCCATAAACACCATCTCTGTTCTCTCTTCCCTCTCCACCAGGTGGTGATCTCTCTCTCACTTTTTTTCAGAATGTTGCTCTCTCTCTCTCTCTAGCCACTGTATCTCTCTATGATGGAATAGCTATTTGCTCCCTCTCGAGAAACTCGTGTCTGTATCTCTATTTTGGGAATGTTGCCAGGCTCCTCTATCTCATTATCTCCCTCTAAAAAGCCGTTGAACTCTGGTGAACGACCTGCTTTCTCTCTCTAAACACAGAGAATTGTTGTGTGCTTTCTCTCTTTAAAAACTCGTGTTCAGGGAATGTTGCCAGAGCTTCTCTCTCTCTCTTTCTAAGAAGCCGCATCACTGTTGAGGGGGAGGGGAGAGAGAGAGAGACTTTCTCTCTCCATCACGGGAAGATTCGATGCTTTTGCTCTGTGATTTTAAGAAGGTGAAATGGTGGGAGGGACGAAGGCATGAGCATATTTATACTGCACGCCCCCAAAATGGTTCATTTTTTAATATCAAATGAAAAAGAATAGTAATATTGAATGGGTCAAATTTCTTAATTTTTTAATATCAAATAAAAAAGGAACATAATATTGCCACCCATAATTCTTGTGCTCCACCCAACCAAAATTGTCAATACTCGAGATTCTTTGGATGGCTCGAGGGGGCCCACAAGTACTCTTCAGTCTTGACAATCAGTTGAAAAGTGATTTTTATGCTCCCGCAGGATCAAAATGTACATGCAGAAACCTACCCTTTTTTCTTTTTTCTTTTTTTCAAATGTCATCCACGAAAAGAAAAAAAAAAAAAGGAGAAAAACAAGCAAAGGGCAACGAGAGGGAGAGTGTAAAGTAGAGAAAAAGAAAGACAAGGGGATGCCCATAATTTGAGTATATAAGCTACTCAGCTTTGGGGGCCAAATTTAAGAAAAAAAATGTTTTCCCCAAATATTATGTTTTAACCTTAAATGGAGTTTAGACAATCAAATTTTAGATGTTCAATAACTTCTTAGTTTAAATACACTTGGTTTGTGATTCTAATCCAAAAAAATTATAAGAAAATCTTCATAACAGATTATGTTCCCCCAAGGGAGCTAGTGCACAATTTGCTCAGGCATGTGCATCATATATGTGCCGGATCTTTTGAAATAGGACGGGTACAATTATAATCGGTGCCGCCATCGTTGCTAATTGGTTTTTCATAAATTAAAATAAAATAAAATAAATTATAGGAATAATAGTTTCAAAATATTAAATAAAAAATTATTTATTCTTGTTTAATTGGTTCAATAGGTTAAAAACAACTAGTCTCGCCGTTCAAAACCAGTTAAGCTTGACTGAGACCTTTAATAAAGGTCAGTGTTTTAAAACATTGGATCAGGAAAGATGGACCACCCACCGATTCCTCTATGGATAACATGAATAAGATAAATCAGCAATGCGGCAAAATTAAGAAAAGGTAAAATAAAAAAACTAGCAAACCATTTCTCTTTTTTGCTTTGATGATTTAAGAAGAAGAAAAAAAAAAAAGAAGATAGATTTTCCATGAGATGGTTCCTTTATCGTATCAAGGATTGAATCGCCTTTATTTTATTTTATTTTACAATGACCGAATCTCCTAATTTTGACAAATAAATTGGGACATTCTGCACCGATCACCAATACAAATCTGCAATTTTCAAATCACTGATAAAAAAAAAAATGCTTGATTAACAAGAATTTACGTCCTATCCACTGAAGTGTATAAAAAAACAAAGGGCAAGATTAAAAAAAGGCCATTTAAATCTTGAAATATTGATATGATGATTCTAAAGTGGATCACAAAATAGTAGTTCTTTTGCCCAAGGGAATAAATATACATTTTAGTTCCTTTAGTGCAAATTAAAGAAAATAGTTATAGTGAGCCCAAAGAAAGAGAAAAAAAAAAAAGGACCCCAGTTGAAATAAAATTGAAGTTCTAAAATTTGAGAAAAGAAATACATATATTATGTAGAGAAAAACAGATCATAGTTGCGGGATCACAAAACACTATTTCGTCCCTTGCATGATTTTTTGATAGGTACTAAGTGGTCGGTCACATGATCGTGGGACCCTTGAATGCCACGTGTACGAATTCCCCAAGGCTGCCTGTGCTGCCACTCGTGACTCGGGCAACGATGGAGGGCCCAGATCCACTAACCCAAAAACCCCATACTATTATTCCGAAATTACATATATATCCGCGTGTGAAAATAAGTAATAAATAACCCATTTTATATAGAATACAATGCTATAAACGGAAAACTATATGATAAGACCATCTATATTTGGGTGCGGTTTGTATAGCGCCTAGGATCTAAACAATCAAATCAGAGCCTACCTTCAAATACTATCGAGAAATATGGTTTTACCATTAAAAATTTTTGTGATAGCCCTAAAATGTCTTTTCAACTTTATTTATAAAGTTTAAAGCTTAAAAAATAGCTTAGATCGACAGATCTATGAAAACTTGAAAATCTTGAAAATTGACGATCTAAAAATACGTTATAAAATACACTATTTCCAAAACTTGAGATCCATTTTTTTCTCATATCCATGCATCTTGATGTCGACATGATCAATTTGAAGATATTTGGGCATCAAAACAACTACTTCTAGTGAACTTTTTGAGGTAGGCTCAAATTTGATTGTTTAGAGCCTCGGCTCTATATAAACTTTTTCCTTTATATTTAGGAAAGGTATATATATATTGAAAATATTTATAGGAAGTATATACAAAGAGACCATTTATTTTTACTACAAGGAGGTCACACTTATCATTAACCCTTAGATTTGAAATTAAGTGGTTGAGGATACGTCATTCTTTAAGCACATAGTCCAAAACAAATTTTCTTGAATATTGGGTCTCTCTTTCATATATTGCATTTCACATCCGATAGCTAAAACTGAATGTGACAGCTTTTACTAAAAATAAATAGTTTCATAGCATACAATGTCGTATATTTAATACAAATAAGTCATAATCACCTCAAACTATTAAAAACAAAATTGGCTTAGTTAGAAGTACACAAATCGTGTTATGTAACATGCTCTTAGCCGTCTAATTTTACATCTGGCGTCTAAGAGTCACTACGACCTTGTACCAAAAATAAAAGGTTGTGCAGTATACAATCTATATAAAAAATATGAAATTGACCGATTACAAGTGTTTAGTCCATCGCTATTGAAGTCCAAAAAGATTTTTCTCAAACTCTGATCATACTTTAGTGGTTTGATTTCACATGTGATGGCTAAAAGTAATTGTGACTTTGTACCAAAATAAATATAAATAAAAAAATATTATAGTATACAGGTAGGAGTGGCAACATGTCGGGTCGGGTCGGGTCGGGTCCCCAAAAAATGATATGGGACCCAGACCTGGACCCAGACTCAGACCCGCTAGATCCGATTTTGGAACTCATACCCATACCCAGATTGGATATACCCCTCAAATCCCGAGTCGGGTCAAGGTCCATTGCCACCTCTATATGCAGCCCCATTAGAAATAAGGTTTTTTATCAAATTAGTTGGAAGAACCATGACTCCACGACTTACATTAAATTTACTTGAAGTCTTGTTCTTTCCAATTCCATGCAAGGAAACTTCTTCTCAATAGTGATCCATCTGCCTAGTTGCCTAGTGAAGTCAAATTTAGTTGGAAAAATTATGACTTTCATTGAAGTTTACAAACCCAATGACAGGTGCGAATGAAATTTACTATAAATTTTGTATTTTGGCCATTTTGAATCCACATTGAATGGGAATATGTGGAATGGCAATAACACAAGTGAATGTAGTCGTTTGCTTTTGGTCTCCAACAATTGGACAAAATATGCTTGAATTTAGAAATCCATAATACCTTTGAATTCGAATATCATTTGAGAAAGGACACTTCACCATACTCAACAAAAAATCTGTTTAAGACGTGTTTTTTTCAAAACTATTTTCAACTTCTAAAAACATTTTAAAAGGTATAAATTTCAAAACTATTAATAGAAACATGATCTTTTAAAAAAAGGGTGCAGTTTGTATAGAGCCTAGGCTGTAAACAATTTAGAGCTTCTCTTCAAATAGTATCCAGAAATGTGGTTTCATTACTGGAAATCTTTGTGATAGCCTTAAAATATATTTTCATCTTTTATTTATAAATTTTTAAGCTTCAAAAATAGTGTAGATTGACAGATCTATGAAAATTTGAAATTTTTGAAAATTGACGGTCCAAAAATACTTTACAAAATAAACTATTTCCAAAACTTGAAATCCATTTTTTTCTCATGTCTATGCATCTTGAAGTCGAGATAATCAATTTGAGAATATTTGAGCATCAAAACATCCTCTTCTAGAGAAATTTTTGAGGTAGGTTCTAATTTGATTATTTAGAGTCTCGGCTTATATAAATTTTTCCCTTAAGAAAATAATATATTTCCTATTTTACCATTTTATAGAAACGTACAGAGAAAAAAAATAGCATTATTTTATCGTTAATAGTGCAAAATGGCACACCAGGATTCGTGTAGCTAACCTCAATTAATTTTAAACAAACTACAATAATGATGATTTTTGTCCAAAAAAACAAAAAAAAGTTGTAATTCATTGAGATATAAGGTATAAAGATTGGTCTATTAATCGATTACTTGCATTAAAGACTTAGTTATTTGCTTTTCTTTAGACATATACACACAAATATGCATATATACTCTTAATTTGTTTAAGCTGTTTTTAGCCAAATCTGAACCTCTCCAATTCAATTCTTTTCCAGCACTATATTTTTTTCTTAAACTTTTGGCTCTGTTTTTTTTTAACAAAACCCAAATTAATGTTGTTACAAGTATGGCTAGTATTTTAGAAAGGAAAAAGTTTATATAAGGTTGCAATCTTACCTCTATAGCTATAGATACACCTAAAAAATCTATAGAAAAAGGTAGTTTTAATGTTGAAAAACCTTTTGATTGATTATCTCGACATCGAGATGTATGACCATGAAAAATGAAAAGATTTTAAGTCTTACAAATAGTGCATTTTACAACATATTATCTACACCGTCCATTTTCAAGATTTTCATATGTTTATAGATCTGCTTGATTTTAACCATTTTTGAAATTTAAAATTTTATAATTAGATATAAAATTAGATTTGGAGATAATCCTAATAACATTTTACATCAAAATTATATACCATCATAAAATTTGAAGGTGCACCTTACCTCTACAGCTATAGATACATCCGTATGCCAACTGCACCCTTTTAGAAAATCAAGATGACTCCGAATTGCCAGTGTTGTTTTCTAGTAGGCGGTTGGCGATCTGGCTCTAGGGAGCCTTGAATCGCTTGATTCCTCGACAGTTCATTCTTTAGTTTCTATCGTACCAATATGACGATCCAGTGCAGGTTTGATCTCCATACTTAGATCGGTTTCCCTAGCTATTTAAGGTCTGATTTCA